TGGGAGACCGAGAGCGACAGAGTGGGAGACCGAGAGCGACAGAGTGGGAGACCGAGAGCGACAGAGTGAGAGACCGAGAGCGACAGAGTTGCGGGAGATCATATATATCTTCCATATTTCATGAATGCGAGCAATCTAGAGTAAGAATATTTTTTCAGAAAAATGTACAAGTTTTGTATTTAATATACAAACGCTAATTATTCCATCTACAGACTGCTAATGGACAAAATAAGTGATAGCAATGATATGCACAGGTATTCGAGAAGCTTACGTTTGTTCAATAATGGTTTTCTTTTGTGGGTTTATTTCTCTCGCATCATAGGATTCTGAGACTTAATTGGTAGTTTCCTAAGTTATAGTTCAAACTGTAAGACTTCAGAAGCGGGACAAAATCAATTAGAGATTATCTGGTTGGTAGTTTCATCTAAAACGCTAATGACGTTGTACTGGTCACTTTAACGTATGTGACAGTCATATTTAATGCTTTTTGGACTCGTTTGAGGGAAGGATTAGTTCACCATGAAATATTGACTTAGCCGATTTCATTTAATCAACTACCTATACGAGAACGATCTTTTCCATCGATGAACAAAAATGTAGAATTCGCACTGCCATCAGCAAAATGCCTTCGCAGCAATAATGAAGTGAAAATTTACATTGTAGTAGTAAAAATAATACTAATATCATATTGAAAATCATTGTTGTATAGTTTCTGGTTAATTTAATCGGAATTGTCACATTCTCTTAGCAGTTGCCATCTATCGTCGCCCCAAATACATTTTTTTGGAAATTTTCTTAATTTTTCAATTTTGTAATAGCGATATATTATTTTCAGAATATAACAGAACAGTAAAAACTCGCCTTGAATGAAAATTTCTTTGGAAAATTTGGAGCAGATTTTAAGAATATAGCGTTTAAGTGCTACTGAAAATGCGCAATTTGAACACCTTTTCACAGAAAACTATTGAGTTTCGGAAAAACTTCATATAAAGTCATTTCAAGCACTTTCAGTCGGAAATGCAAAGGTGTTTACAAATTCCAGGAAATAAGCATATTAAAGGCGTGAAAGATATTTCACAAAAATTACATTTATCTAATTTTTCAAAAAACAAAATAATACAGCAAAATTAATTGTATGTCATCATAAACAGTTTAGTTAGCACTATACGTTCGAACAAGAAATAATTTTGAGCGGTATTTGAAGAAATGGCGTTTGAGTGCTTCTGAAAATGCGGAATTTTGGGCTAATTTTCTCACATTATTTAAAGCATGTGTCCTCATAAATATATTAATGTAAACAAATTGCTCTTGGTATAAATACTAACGACGTGAGAGACAAAATAAAATATATTTTTGTAATTTTTGAAAAAAAAACTAAAGAAAAGATCAATAAGTCCAATAAGTTTATGTAATCATATAGAGTGCATTTTGTACTATCTCTCCCAAAAATTGATGTCGTTTTTGAGAATTTTTTGTTTTTGTACTTTTTTAAATTGCACTTATTTCTCCTAATATTAATAGTCTTCAATTGCCTATACTTTCTCGCATTATTTCTAATTGCTTGTCTGTATTATACTACTACATAAAGACGCAAACATGTTTTCAACAAACAAAAATTTGTTCAACAGCGAGAATCGAACCCAGGTCCTCCGCGCCGTAAGCCTTACTTCTACGCTATAGAAACGCTATGAATTTCGAATTCGGGCGACGCTTAAAAATGTAATTGGCTCAAAACTGTTTGTTTGTTTTTCAAAAAAGTTGTACTTGACCATCTTTAAAGAGCTCATTTTTTATAAGAGACTTTGTTTAAGGCAGAAAGGGCTATCTTCAATATGGTAGTTTTGTACGGTTAATGTTTCCCCCTTTTCGAAAATACGGATAGTTCGCCGAATATGGAACTGGTAGCATTTTTTACCGTTCCTTTATACATTCGAGGAAACATTCAAAGAAATTTGGAGCAGTTCTTGAGAAAAAATGTTTAAAAATGGTCAATGACAATGACACGAAAACAATTCATATTTTTGTAATATTGAACATGACTTTATTTCATGTCTTTAAAACCATGCCAGATTTTATGAAGTAAAAATGATCGATCTTCGATATTGTAGTTGTAGGAAGATGCCACCAAAAGTTTCACGTTTGCAATTTTAAAAAATGCAAGAATTTAAAGAAACATAGCACCTGCACTCTCATAAGCGTCCTTTACCCGAGAACAAAGTTAAATACAAAAACTTTGAGCAATTTTTGAGAAAATTTTGAGAATGTTTCTGAGACTACATGTAAACTACTCTCAAAAATCAAAATAACCGCTTGATATTTCCGAAGCCTCGAAATCGTTCGGCCACAAAGCCTACCAACCTGGTTCGGCAACTTTTTCTACTGGCAAAATAAAATGATACTTTAACACACGCATCATAAAGAACTATTATATTAAAAACTACTATCGATATTCGTAAACGTCTTACTGGTGGAAGTAGCAGAAAGTTGTGGAATTCCTTCGTATACGAGGAATACGTCGAAAGAATCTTCTACAAAAAAATTTGATATATTGTTATAGTGGTTCATTTTACCCGCATTCTTTCTTTATAAATTACACTACTACATATAGCATTCTATATAATACATATATTTTTTAAACACAAATATCAAATATGTTAGTTGCCACTGAAAATGGAGAAAAAAGCTCCGAGATCTGGTGTCATAAGTTTGTTTGAAGACAATTATTTCCTCTCGTTTGTCATTCATCTACGCAAAGTTTAACCACTACTGCTTTGTGTATCTTCAGGATATGCGTGATCTGATGCTGCATCTGGTGACGCACTACCACAAGAAGTACGCGGAACTGTTCCCGCTTGGTATCGTTGAAAGCTCGACGCGGACGCTCAACTGGATCGTCGACATGATGAAGAAAGGCTTGCAGCGGCAAGCGGACAAGAAGAAGAAAGCAGCTCCGCCCTGAACTTCTTCGTTCATCTCCCTTGCGCTGGTTGCTTTCATGAGATAACGGCGACTGCAGATTGACTCAAAATGTCACAATGTAACTTCACAATTTAAATTAACTATAAGGAAAAAGGGGTTTATACTTGATAATTGACGATTTTGTGCATTTGAGTGTATTAATTTTTTTGGGTTGATTAAAAGTTAATTATATTCAATTATTCATTGCTTAAAATTAATACGATGGTAAATGTTTTACTCTGAATTATTATTTCTTTGTGGAGCGTATTAATTGAGAACATGAAACAAAAATCAAACAGATACTTGTTTACGTGATAAATTATTATCCATTATTCACGTTTCTCTTTTCTATAATCGTTTTCACATAGTGGATCTAGTCTATTAAACACTGAACAACATTGCTAGTAACATTTCAGAAGCTGTAACATATTATGTAGGCAAGGCATTTAATAACGGGAAATATGTATCGAACGTAGTATGTTTCTTTAGAATTTCAAGCCAAGAAATACTCACCGTCAGGACAAAGTGTCAACAAACTTGGTGTTCCGTGCTTAAAGGTCTGATTATGTGATATTTTTGCAAAGCATAGCCCCAGAACATAATGGGAAATTCATGGCAAGACTGCGTTGAAAATCGAGCTTCCGCAATTATTTAGAATGTGACAATCTCTTTCTTGGCGTCAACCGAAGTGAACGGTAATCATTTTATAGATTTAGGCTGGGAACATTTTGATGTTAGGAAACGGGAAACTTATGTTAATTGCGTGGTTTGTTTATGTGTAGTATATAATTTGTAATTTGAGATCAGCTTTCTTAGCTTGTGTTGTAAGTTGTGATTTTGAGGATTCATGTAAAATAGACTTCGGACGTGGGACATTAATCTAGAATAGTTTTGTAACTGAGCATACATATTGTTTTAAGTTAACTAAAATGACAGGCAGTCGATACTAGGCGCTTCATTCGCGGTACAGGAAGGGAAAGTCGCGTTTGCGACTGGATTATTTGAATAGATCGGGTTATAGAATATTATTCTCAAACAGTTAGGGTTTTCGGGGAACCATACAAAAATTCTCCTGCTGCAAGAATTTACGACGATACGAGGAGCATCTCGTGATCATCCCATCGACAACATACGGATGGAAGAAGTCTTGAAGACAGGCGTGGAAGATATTTCCGTAAGCTTACCAACATTTATACAAGAAATACCGTTCGGAATTTGCGACCATACAAATTAAAGAGAAATCATAAACGACCTCAAAGATCATTAATAGTAAATCTGCAGAATAAATGTCAATTTTTTATTATCAAAGTAAAAAGGCTGATAATTTGTAGAAGTTCCCATCACATTTATTAATAACATAATAATGCAGCAGGACTTCCAGAATTTGCGGCTTTGAAGAGTCGCATGTCCACATATAATAGTAAAAGAAGAAGTTTACGAGCTATGTTGAACCCATGTTTGGAATGCCAATGTAATGTTAAAATAGCAAAATTAATTAATATTATAATATTCTTCTTCAACATCAAGGATTAGGCCTGAAGGCCCGTTAATGTCATCAATCCATCGAGTATTTGGTCTTCCAACTCTTCTTCTGCCATCCGGTACATAATTTGTTATTTATTTAGGTAATCTGATGTCGTTCATCTTAACAATATGGTTGTACAATTTCTGTTTCTGTTTTTCGACTCTGTCTAGGAGGTTAAATATATTTAGTTCTTGTCGAAAACACACATTTTTCTCATGACCTAGTACAGTTAGCAACACTTCGCAAGAAAGTCATTTCGCCAGTTTCAATTTTTCTTTTTGATGATCCATTTAACGTCCAATTTTCGCATCCATAGGTTAGTCGGCCATAGGCATAGACGGCAAGAATTTTATAGAATTTTAACTGAGTGTCTTTTCGGATTTTATTTCTTAATGTTTTTCTATTGTTCCACACATTCTCTGGAATCTACTCAATTTGACATCAATGTCGCTTTCTATTATATATTAATAGCATAATAAATGTGGTATTAACCGGGTAACATAAATGACTAAATTTCTATAAAATTACAAACCATCTCTCTCTGCCCCGCGTAGGGCAGAATAACATAAATAATTAGTGGAAGTGAATTAATTAAATGGTATTCATGTAATATATATTACGTATATATTCATTTCAATTTTATCACTTGTATTTTACGAGATATTAGAGGTATTTTGTTTTTTCACACGTAAATATACATATTTTTTCAGTCTATTATGACAAGCGTAAAAAGACAAATCCGATAATACACATATTGTCGTGTGTTAGATAATAAGATTTTTTAGTAATTTTGATTTTTTCCTACAAGCGTTTAATTGATATTTTGAATGTAACAAACCACAAAGCAGCGCTCCTCCTGCTAGCGCTCGTTCGAGGAAGGGAAGGGATCTTTGTATTTGAAGGTACGAAAAATATTCCAAATATTCGCGAAACAATTTAGTCAAAAAGTCTTCCAGTGTGCTGCGGGTTGCATTTAATATGAATATGATGCTGATATTGATGAAATAAAGGTTACATTGTTTTCTTCATAATAAGGCTGATTATTTAGTAGTGAAGTTGCAATACATCTAAGCATATTTATTTAGAACTAGATTCTAAAAATTGACGCTTCGGCCCCGGCAGGCAGCAACATAAGTAGTAGTTTGTCGTTTGTCATAAGAATGAAGCTATTTAGAACATCAAATATAAAAGGATACATGTCGGCATAATTATAAGGTTTGAATTAAGAAATTACTATTATATTATTGATATTACACATGAGAAAATATATTTCACGAGAATAATCTAATAATAATAATAATAATAATAATAATAATAATAATAATAATAATAATAATAATAATAATGATAGTAATGACAGTAATAATAGTAATAATAATAATAATAATAATAATAATAATAATAATATCCCCGTGTGGTGTCGGGGGTTTTAGTAGAATAGCACCACGGGATCTCCCCCTGTCGTAGAAGGCGATAAATCGGAGGAGCAGACTGCTCTCCCCAGCTCTGTGTTATCCTTCTTTTCACGCCAATTTTCCCTTCCTTACCTGCGGGAGCGAAAGGGTGGATGCAAAATCTTGGAAGCTTCCGTTACCCATCCCAGCGAAGGTCCATTTTTGCCCTTCCTCCTTCCCCTTGCATCAAACCTGGCCGTAGGCATAAAAGGCAATTCATAGAGATGTGGAGTCGCAAAGAAGGAGTCGTTAAGCCTCGGAAGAAGAACCGCTGCCTGGGGAGCGCCAGGGGCCGTCTGGAGCCGGGGCTGGACGGATCAGCATGCGGGACGCCGGTACTGAGAGGGCGGGCCCCTGCCAATAAATATGTGACAGCCCCCGATATGACTGCATCGTCTAACTGTGAGAACCTGGACAACGTGGAGGAAGAAAACGCGGCATACTTCTAATGCCACTTCATCGGCTGGCTCGTCTACCCAAAATGCACGGGAATCTGCACGCAGAGGAGGCCATCGCACCGAAAACAAACCTCGAATTAGTTGGTCACGATAAATTAACATGGAAATCATTATGGCATTTTACTGTGCAAACAAGTGCGAAGGCACCCCACGTACAGGTTATAGACGACCTTTCCATGAAGGGTATGAGAGGATTAGACCAAACATGCAACATAACGAACAAAATGTTGTTGACCGTAGAAATACCATTACTACCACAGGCTACTTAACACCAACTGAGTTAGAAGGAATACGTTGGCAGGTTGCGAGTGAATTGAAGTTGAGTGACGAAAATTTAGTACAACCAATCCAGGGTACCACATCAAATGAAATTGAGAGTACTTTTGAAGCCGCCTTATATACAGAAGAGGCCCAGGACACTGGACTGGGTGAAGCGGCAGAATGCTTCCAAAGTCTTTTAGAGCTCTACCGAAGTACTCAACCTTCCAGCAGATCGGAAATACCTATTTTGAACTACATCAGAAGAGCCAAATTACTCATAACGAGGACCAACACCACAACACCATCTTGGAACAACACCTGAAGCAATAATTAAAGATGTTGTCATTGCCAACAATGTTTTTTAATTCAAAAGCAGCTTTCGATGGCTTAGCCATCATCATCAGTTGTCTGCTAGATGGAAGCCACAAGCAATGACAACATCTTTAATTATTTTAAAAATGCCAAAGATATCTTACCACAACACCTATACCTGAAGCAATGTTTGGAATTAGAGGAAGTAGAACTAGCACTATATTGTGCAGCGGCAACGGTAATCAGACTTAATGGCCAAAAGACATATGCACCAGGAAAGCAAACTCAGCGAGGTAATAAAGAAAAGGAGCCGGCCTGGAAGAGGAGACTTGAAATTGGGGTTTATCACTTCCGAGCGAAGGCAAATTTGATTAATAATTTTATGAAGGGCATCCGCTCCCGAAAAATATTAAAGGAGATAACTGTGTTATGTGCCCAGGCAAAAATTAATCTAGAACTTAATTGTCACCAAAGACTTCTCGAACTCAAGGATAAGTACCGACAGAAAGATAAGCTGAAAGGAGCACGATTGAAAAGGTATGATGCGCTATATAACAGAAAGACTATAGACACTATTATAATCAGTTTCGTAATGAAATACTTTACCGCTCTAGTGTGGTAATGAACTTCATTGGCAAGGGAGAATGGTTATTCTGAGACGAGCACTATTCCATGGTCTACTATTGAGAATGACAATAATTATTCAAATAATTTATTATGAAATTAACTTTGTTAAAAACATTTCAAATAATAACAAGAATAACACGTTTTTGTTTTCACACCAATCCTTACAAATTGAGTACTCACGCTCATATTTCTTGTTTGATTTGTATGTTAACAAAGAATCTATAGCAGCATTTGTTGCTATTTCTATTTCTGAGTCTGAACTGCATTCGCTCATGTTGTCGAAATATGTACACCATGCGCGTTTCAATTGTTCTCCTTGTCAAGAACAGTGTCACCACTTAAAGGGGAAAAATGTGAATACTAAATGAAAATTTTAATCTTAAATCTAACAAATATTTACAAAGTGGATAACACGTTGTACGATATTCGTGAAGTAACATCTGATTACAACACTCAATTGGTTACCAAACTCGTCCTCACGGACTCGTTTGGCAATTTTCCAATCTCGTATTGTAATCAGATGTATTACGACACTAATATCGTAAATAACTAAAATTGTCTCTTATTTATGGACGATCTGAAGCTTTATGCTGGAACACATTAAAAACCCCGTTCCTTAATAGATACTACCAAGATATTAGGATGGCCTTCGGTTTGAATAAATGCATCATAAGCATACAGAAAGGTAAAGCAAAAAAGTTAGATAAAAATGTCCAAGGCATAGAAGAACTGCAACCTGAATGCTGTTTACAAATATCTCGGAATACAACAGAACATAAAACTTGATCACAGTGAAATTAAACAAGAGTTTACCGAGAAGTACAAGAAGGGGGTAACCAAAATACTGAATACGAACCTGGCTGGGAAAAACATAATTATCAACCATCAACAGCCGGGCTGTTCCTACGCTGATGTGTAGTAAAATGGTCTGATGCAGATCTATGCAGTTCTGATCAGATTCATTGGATAGGCTTACTAGAGGGCGTCTTACAAAATTCAGATGTCTTCACCCTAACACTTCTGTGATCCCATTGTATTTACCAAGAAGAGGAGGTCGAGGGATACTCAATATCTTTAAACTTTGTAGAATCCAAGAACAAAAAATGAGGGACGCTATACTTAAATCTCGGGATTCCTTCATGCATAAGGTGGCGAGTTCTGACAATGGAGACACACCACTTAATTTAAGCAACCAAGACATGCATATTAGAATACCAACTCAAAAGTACGAAATACAAAATTGGCAACAAATGATGCTTCATTGTAAATTTCATAACTCTCTGTTGGACCCTATGATTGACAAATCTGCATCCTTAAAGTAGTTGAGCAATGGTTACTTGTACTCGGAAACTGAAGGTTTTGTAAAAGCAATTCAGGACAGAGTAATAAGAACTAAAAACTATGAAAAACATATTTTAAAACCAAGTGATATCGACGAATGTAGATGTCAACGGACAACGGAGAGTATTGAGTACATAATGGCTGGGTGCAGTACTTTGTCAGAGAGTGCCTATTTAGGCAGACATAACTAAGAGGCAAAAAGCAGTCACCGTGAATGAGGAATGAAACTGGGAATGCTGGGGAATAATGATCCAGCATATTACAAGTATGAACCAGATGCTGTAATCGAGACAAAGACTCACGTCCTTTACTGGGATAGGACTATTGTGACGGATAAAACAGTCGATTATAACCGCCCTGACGTCATCCTAATAGACAAAGAAAGAAAACAGCTTCTATAATTCATGTTGCAATCCCTTTGATTCACAACTTGCGGAAGTCAGAAGCGGAAAAAATAAAAAAATATGTGATCTTGGCTATTGAACTAAAAAACCTATTGTTAGAAAAATTTTAAGTGCGTGATATTCATGTAGGTCAGGATGAATTTCCTTGCTGCGTAGTCCGAGACTAGTCCTATAATATCAATTGGACTGGTAAATGGTTTCCCTTCTAAAGCAGAGAAAGTGTGAAAATCGGATAATAACTATTATTATTATTATTATTATTATTATTATTATTATTATTATTATTATTATTATTATTATTATGCACGATAGTATAAGTGTGTGAAAGGGG